CTTTTTTTTTTGCGGGGGGAGGGGGGATTAGGGAAGCAGAAATTGCTGAAAAAGCAGGTTCCACCGAGATTTGAACTCGGATCACTGGATTCAGAGTCCAGAGTGCTAACCATTACACCATGGAACCTCGCCTGTAACTGTTTCTTTATTTATGTTCCATAAAGGTCCCCTTGCAAAGAGATGAATTGTCCTTTAGTATTGCTTTGCTGTTCTGATTGAACGACATTTCCCATGATGACCAGCTAAGCAAAGGGACCCGTTTCCTCATACGTATGGTCGACCCATCCAAAATCAGTGGGACTTAATCTAGCCATGACTGACTTACTGATTTCAATAGACGTGCAGATTGCTAACTCCCTCGACTGCAGCGACAGTTTTTGTCCCAGGAGTTCTGCAGCTGCAGACTGAGAAAGGTACTGCGTCAGAGTCCATAGATCATCAAAGCCCTTATTTATAAATATAAATGTATAAATTAATAAACCGATCATGCCTTCTGGTTTTAGCAGTGCATCGCAACTGCCTTCGATTCCTTGCTTGGCTCTTCTCGAGTTAGTCTCCACGAGATGCCATGTTCGCCGTTACAGGGGGGAAAAAGGGGATTTTGATTTTGTGTCTAAACTGAGGAGTCAGATGAGGGGGGAAAAAGGCACCGCTGGGATTCGAACCCAGGATCTCCTGTTTACTAGACAGGCGCTTTGACCAACTAAGCCACGGCGCCGTTCACGACGCGTGTTTTTGGATGGAGTGACTTAAAAAGCCAGCTTTTCTATACAGAATCTGTATGTTGCTATCATGAGGGCCAGCAGCCCTAAATTGCCACCAGGGGGCAGCAGATACGAAATGTCAAATAATACATACCATATCCGAATAATATTAGCATTGATACCCTTCGGATTCTTGGGTAGAATAAACCGGACAATTCCCAAGCTCAGCAGGACAATTGGCTCTTTGCATTTTCAATTAAGCTAATCCATGATCCCATGCTAATTCATGATATCAACAACCTCAGATATGCAGATGATACCACTCTAATGGCAGAAAGTGAAGAGGAACTAAAGAGCCTCTTGATGTGGGTGAAGGAGGAGAGTGCAAAAATTGGCTTGAAATTCAACAGTAAGAAAACTAAGATCATGGCATCCGGTCCTATCACTTCCTGGCAAATGGATGGGGAAGAAATGGAGGTAGTGACAGGTTTTATTTTCCTGGGTTCCAAGGATGGGGACTGCAGCCAAGAAATTAAAAGATGCTTGCTCCTGGGGAGGAAAGCTATGGCAAATCTAGACAGCATACTAAAAAGCAGAGACATCACCTTGCCAACAAAAGTGCGTATAGTCAAGGCTATGGTTTTCCCAGTTGCAATGTATGGCTGTGAAAGCTGGACCATAAGGAAGGCTGAGTGCAAAAGGATTGAGGCCTTTGAATTGTGGTGCTGGAGGAGACGCCTGCAAGTCCCTTGGACCACAAGGCGATCAAACTGGTCAGTCCCAGGGGAGATCAACCCTGACTGCTCTTTAGAAGGCCAGATCCTGAAGATGAAACTCAAATCCTTTGGCCACCTAATGAGAAGGAAGGACTCCCTGGAGAAGAGCCTGATGCTGGGAACAACTGAGGGCAAAAGGAGAAGGGGACGGCAGAGGATGAGGTGGCTGGATGGAGTCACTGAAGCAGTTGGCGTGAGCTTAGGTGGACTCCAGGGGATGGTGGAGGACGGGAAGGCCTGGAGGAATGTTGTCCATGGGGTCGCGATGGGTCGGACACGACTTCACAACTATCAACAACAACATGATACCATTTAAAAGGGGTGGGAGTTCCGTTTGAAGCTGTAAAGGGTGCAATGCTATGCATATTTAGATAGGAAAAGTTCCAACATTCCCATCATGATCTTGCCGGTTCTCACAAAAAGGTGCTCAGTTGATTCTCTTGGAAGTGCTATGGAG